CAAACGACGAAAAAAACATTTAACCCTTTTGCAGCACTCGGAGGATTCTCCGGCTACGGAGACAAAGAAAATATCAACTATGATTTTTCTTTTAATTACACATATGTCATTTATTTATAATACGTGAATATGATGATTTTTTTTCTTGTTTTTTTTTTTTTTTCTATTGAAATTACTTTGTCAATTGTTCGTAATATATGAAATGAAAAATATAACTTCGAGTGCAAAGGGTTGTTAAAATGAAACATTGGCGAATACGCAAGATAAATTGCTTCCCTGTTCTTTTGAGCGTCTCCGGGATATTTAATTTTGAATAATAAGAGAGGGGGAAAAGGAAGCGTTTGTAAATTAACGAAAGTTAGATATGACGGTAGAAACCGCGTGGAAAAGAATATAATTTCGTTAAAAACTTACTCGCACAGACGCCCTCGTCCACTTCCCGCGTGTGAGGTAGTAGATTTTTGATTATACACTGCAGTCCAACCGCGCAGCTCCCGGAAAAGCCGAAAAGACCCCCGCATGGTTCACCTTCAACGCGCGCACATACTTTGCAACATCTGGAAAATACATTGAGAAAGAGAGAAAAAAAGAAAGAAGAGACACATAAAATATATAATTTTATTTTCAACGTGCATTCTCCCTTCACCCCCCCCCCACCCCCATGTATAGTAAAATACAAAAGAGTATACATACAGTAAACATGTAAAAAGAACAAAATAATCTCTGTATTTTTTTTACATTATTTACTGTAATTCAATATATATATTAAATTAAAGAAATATATTATAAATATATATATATATAAAGAAAGTGTACTTTCTTTAATTTAAATTAGCCGCGCTTTAATAGATCAGCGCGCGCCTTCAATAGATATATTCTAATATCTAATAGAATTGATAGGTTAATGAACTAGGAAACACAAACGAGAATAAAAACAAAGCCGAGAAGAAGAACGAGCTTAGGAGGTGACAAACTATTAAGAAAGTTTTCGGGTATGGAAATACAATTGTTGATAAATTAAGTGAAATCAAAAGTTTTAAATGGGTATCGGGGATGGTTAGGGAAAAAGGATGTAAAGGTGGTGATGGTGGTGGTAATAGAGGAGGAGAGAATGTAGAGTTAGGAATGGGAACAATGGTGAACAGGATTCTATATTGTAGAGTCAGCAGATCTACGGTTTTCGTTTCTCGCTCGACGGAAGCTGGCAATAACGAGTCACGTCATGATTCACGAATCAATCCGAAATCCCAATCTCCTGCGATTTTTATTCGATCTGTCCTCCTTCTCGCAAGCTTTCCTCCTCCAGCCCATCCCTCCCTACTCCTCTTCTCCTCCTGCTAGCTAGATCAATCAGATCTATCGAACCTACGGCTCCTCTCGCCACTCGAAAAGCAATTACGTTCAAATTGTTCACCTTACAAGTAACTTCCTCCCGTTTCAAGTGGACCGCTCTCTCTCTCTCTCTCTCTCTCTCTCTTTCTCTCGTTCTCTCTCGTTCTCTCTCGTTCTCGCGTGTAATTTCAAAGAGCGCCAAGAAAAAGGGTCGTTTCAAATGAGTGAAGAGGGAAGATGAGGAATGGAAAGGAATAAGAGGGGAAATCTCGTCACATCGAACGAGTTCGCAAAGGTATTTCGTAATTGTTCATCGCTTAACTTCTATCGAAATCTCGTCAATTTCATCTGGAATACTTAAGAGAGAAGAAACATATCGACAAGGTTTTCAATCCGACAAAACAATTACGAAAGTTTTATATATATATATATATATATATAGAAGATATTCCCCTGAAGTTTTCTCAATTATCTTTTATAAGTAAAAGAAATGAAACAATTCAATAATTCACTCCGTATATTTGCTCCTCAAACGTAAAAAAAAAAGGGTTAAAACATTTAAAATCTACATTTTGTTTTTAATTGAATGGAATTTCTCTCTTTTTTTTTTTTTTTTTCCCCTACGACTGTCAATAAATCTTCTTCCTGACCGACATATGATGCAAGTCAAACTGTAACTGAATAAAGTGATGAAAGGATATTCCATTATAAACGTACACTGGATTATAGAAATAACTAAAAACGATAAATGGATAGAGATTGTGATCAGTAATTCAAGATGTCCGTAAACGACTCTGACCTCCTTTTCCTTCGAGTCTTTTTACAAATGCAAGTTGAATGTTATTTTAAAATAGTCACAATACATTATATCCTCCTGTACTCAAATATGTCTACACGAGTATACGTTACAACGCTAGTTGAAATAAGAATCACTTATAATATCTTTTTTTTTTTCTTTCGTGTGATAAACGAATAACTCTCATAGTAATAACAATAAATGTGTTTCAAAAGTTTGTATAAGAAATGAAATATGTATGTATTTTAATCTTTCCAAAATTTCAATATCAATCAACAGATTGTCGTCCTAAATGGAAAAACAAACTTTTGACCAATTTTGATCTTAACATGACTATGATAATAAGAATTTGTGTTATTTTGAATAAACAAAATTTTATAAAGTACTAATCATTTTCTTCCTTTTTTTTTTTCTTTCAAATATTAAAATTCTTACATTGATCTATTTTTCGATCTTGGTTGGTATCTTTGAAATATAAGCATTAAAGGACTCATTATATAAAGCTTTCTGATATAAAAGGTCTGTAACACGGTTATCTAATGCAAGGAAGAGTAACTTTGTTGAATGGAACATACCACAACAAAAGGAACCTTCGTGAAGCGTCAAGTTCCGTTCTTCGAGATTTCGATAATCTCGAGTTTCAAGTATATATATATATTTAATATATTATATACATTTAAATATACATATATGCATATATATATATATATATACCTAACTCTATTTTTTGCATGATACATTTCTAAAGAAGAATTGTATAAAACCGAACGTGGAAGAAAGCATACGTTATCTATAATCAAAAATATACTGAATACGTTTTATATAATACAAAAATTCGCGTATGATACGAACAAATTACTTTTTAAATCATAAATTATTATTAATTAAATTAATTCATTTAACAAAATAATGAAAAACTATCAATAAAGAAAGATATATAATTTGTTCTTTGACCGTATTATTATTTCAAAACTATGTACAAAAAGAATTGAATATATATTTTTCTTATTTTACTGTACTGAAACCACCAAGCATTATATTATGGGTTGGTCATTATCTCAATTTGAAAATGGAATATTTCAACGTTAACACGCTTATCAACATTTATGCTGACGTAAAAATAGAAAGGAACCGTAAGAATCCATTACGAATTGTTTCACGTTAAGTACGCGTTCAACCGGGTTAATAATGCCCTACTCCCCTCCTCCTCCTCCTCCTCCTCCCCTTCTCCACCACCTTCTTTCTTTTTTCTTCCGCTCGTTTAATTAAGTACACACAAAAGCTTGGATATTGCGTTTTCTCCAAGGACCACTTTACCTCAACTCAAAGAATAAAAATAATTATTATCCGTTCGTCGTTTTTACTGCGGTTTTACTTTTTAACTGTGTTTCTCGTTTTTGTTTTTTTTTTTGTTTTTTTTACTAATCTTAAACAAGATGTCATTTGTAACAATTTCAAAACTATTCTGAGCTCGGTTAAACGATTTTTATGTTTTTTTTTATATTTAATCTATAAAAAGATCAAAACTAATTTGACTTGGTAAGTTTAAATGGTCAACAACAACGTGCGATTAAAAATATCATCATCTTGTGTCTGCTAAACTCTCGACAAATTTGATTATCAAATTATTTTCAACATTTTAACTACTTAGATAAGAAACTTAAAGTTTCCTACCTGTCGTAAACCATTTCCTAAATGTCTACTAACTGACGTGTAATATTGCTATCTACCAAATTGTATATTACAAATATATGAATTTAAAATAATTATTAATATATATTTGTAATGTATAAAAAATATTTTTAGAAACAATCCTTCAACATGATGGAATGGTTTTATGTTACAATTTTGACTTGTACAATCATTGTCACCTACCACGTGACATGCGACAACAACAACAAAGTACTGTTTGTCAAGTAAGGAGTGACTTACGACCATTAAGGGATTAATAACCATTTCAAATTAGGAAAATCGTAATAATAACAATGATATTAGAACAAGTAGAAAAATTATTCAAGGATCATTCAATTTTGTTCTAAAGTTTCACAAATGTATCAATAATCGTTATCAAAAAATCAACGTAAAGAGAAAAGTATGAAGAAAACTTTCTAAGAGTGTAACAATAATATTCAATAAATAATCTTTTAAGAAGCAAACAAACAAAATAAAATAATAACCTATTCATAATTTTTTTATAAAAAAAAAAAAGAAGAAAAAAAACACAAGATACACTTTATAAAAAGATATTACTTTCATAACATTTCATAACAGTTGTTTTCTCCTTCTTCTCTCTACAATAATATATTAAAGATGAAAAAGAAAAATATGACATAAAAATGAAAGAAAAATATAAAAAAACAATGTATTAAAATTTAATATAAATTTATATAAAACAATATATATATTAAAGATGAACAAGAAAAATATGAAATATAAAAATGAAAGAACAAGAGAAAACATAAACTAAACTGAACTGGGGTCAGTTGCTGCAACACATGGACTAAGTTTTAAAACTGATATTACCATCAGTAAGAGCATGCTTATCAAACAGTTATATAGAAACCTTTAGGTAAAGCAAATGAGAGGCTAGTTACCTGCAAGGATCCCAGGTGAGTCCTCCAGGGCAATCCTCGTCGGTGAGTATGTCACACTCGAGCGGCGAACACACACAGGACAGTGCCCTTGCAACCGCGATCGAGAGAACTACGATGATGCCCCCCAGGAGTAACAACGAGGCCCTCATTTTTTTTTCTCTTCTTTCTTATCCTCTTCTCGTTTGTTTTCTTTAACTATCTTATTATTTCTTTGAATTGTTCTTTAACAACAACCCTCTACTACCACTATTTTTATTGTCCTCTTCCTCTTTCTCAGTCCGATTAACGTTTTTTCTTCTCTCTCACGAGAAAATCCAACACTCGCGAATTGTTCGATCACAAATAATAGTAATAATAGTTGTAATAGTAACACTAAGGATTATTGTAGAGCAGCAATAGCATCACGTCGAGAAAAGAGCAAGCACGTAGACGACGCGACGGCGCCTTTGCGCCCCGATTTATCACCCCCGCCGATGCACTGGCTCGTATCTAAAACTCACCCCGGATTTTTGTTCTTTCTTTTATTTCACGCACAACTACTACTACCACCTTGCCATATTTTTGTTCTTTCTATTTGTTTCTCTCACGAACTACTACTACTACTACTACTGACTGAAAATCATTTCCTATGCGTGTCACGTTTACGTGTATAGGGTATATTCGTTTACCTGTTCTCGTATCTAATTTGTGTGTGTATATGTGTATGTGTATGTTAACAAAAAAATACTATCAAAAAAAGAGAAAATCATTCTTTCTGGACTTTCTTCTCACTAAAAAGACACACGTGAATTACGATAGTTCCAGGTACATTGTATATATATATATATAGATGTGTGTATATATGTGTAAGAGTCAAATCGAAGAGGACGAATAGGATGAGAGTGATAAATGGAATGCACCGATGCGCGTACACACTTCGTTTCGACTCACCATCTAAGAATAACCGTCCCCCCATCCCGTCCCGTCCCTTTTCCCTTCGTGTAAAACACTATGATCGAAAGGTGTGGAGAGTGCTACTGGTATAAGCAATATAAGGAAAGAAAAAGGACAAAAAATGAAAGAAGCAACGAGTATCCGATAACGAAAAGTCGACTTTTGATTTATATGAGAAATGGGAATATACCCACCCTTAGAAGAAATTTTATGTTTTATACTTTTAGAAAGTAATCACACTATTGGGAAATTAATTATACAATTGATTTACAAATTGTTATATAAGACAATATTAAAATATAGAAATTATTTAAAAGATGATATGATAAAAGATAAAAAGATAATTGTAATAGAAGTAATCACACCATCGGGAAATTAATTATGCAATTGATATACAAATTGTTAAGAAAATATAAAACTATAGAAATTATTTAAGAGATATGATAAAACATAAAAAGATCATTATAAGAGAATGTTAAGAATAAATCTTAGAAAACACACAATCCTAGTTTCAAATTTAATCAAACATTTTTCATTTATCAAAGTTGCAAATCTTCGCAATCTTTAAAAGTACCAATTTATTTTCATGGAAAGTAAACTCAAATAAATCTCCTCATGAGAATCTTCTAATTTTATTATCTAAGATATTAATAGAAAAAGGAAAAGTATTTCAAATATTGAAAACTATGGTACAAAAAGTTATTAAAAAAAAAAAAAAAAAACATATAATAACGATGTATACCATAAAAATATAAGAAATATGAAATATAAATGAAAATTTATAATAATAAGATTAATTAATACTTCATTATTTAAACTTGAAAACACCCATGACTATTAAGAAAATCTTTCAAATGATATATCAAATAGAAGTAATTCTGAAATAATGTTCAAGAGTCGCGATTTATCCTCGAACCAAAATAGATTAGAACAAATCTGTCCATTTTCCCTTTCTTTTACGTCAACCCTGTAATTACACCATCCAGCGTGATGGCTGATGGTACGGATTGAGAGGGAATCCCTCGAGGTAATCAAAGCTTCCAAGCAAATGTCGTTCTCTGTGAATGTATGAATGTGTATGTGTGAGAGGTAAAGAGATAACAAAAAAAAGAAAAGAAAGAATAGAAAGTAAGAAAGTAGGAGAGAGATAGAAAAAAGAAAAAAAGTAAAAAAGAAAAGAATTTTTAGAAAGGCGTCTTTCAAAATCGATCGATCATATTCGAAAAAACCTAAGAAGGACCATCAGGATCTATCGATGAAACTATATTCACTACTATCATTCAACTCAGAAAAGTTTATCTGAAAATTCGGCTTCGTATTCGATCTACGTTCAACGTCTACCCGCAATGCCGTATTAGACCGCAACGTGCACACACAAAGAGACACGCACGCACATTCTCACACATCAATTTTATATACTTATACATAGAAATTTATATATATGGATTATTCGAAGTTCTGGAAAAACTCAAGAAACAATTGACTTTGAACACATCAGGATAACCCAAGGGGCTCTGGAAAAAGCCAAGAAGTACGACGAAATAACAAAGTTTGCTTGCCACAAATAGCGTTGCTCGGTTTACGCTGAATACATTAAATTGTTGCAAATAACGAGCAAATTATATATTAGATTTAAGAAAGAAAAGTCCTAGTGAAGGGGACCCACACCCGGGAAAGTTTTCTGTTAAAACATACAGTTGCATGCATAAATATCCGGCCAACCATATTTTTATATTTAACTGAGGTTTAAATAGTATAAAATGAAAACAGTAATATATCATTATAAAGTAGATTTATTGTGCTACATTACTACATAGTTAGATAATTAAATACAACAAATAATAATTATTTAGAACAAAAACAAAAGTTTTTGATACTTCATAAATATCCGGCCAAACAGAAATTACTCAATATATAACAAAAAACTTAAGAAAAAACAGTTACAAACTATTATAACTTGAA